ATGAATTTGCAGGTCGCAGATGTCGCAATTACGACCAGGGTTTGCAATTGCGAACCCCTTCAAAACCTGCTTTCCTCGCATTTGCGAATAGGGGTTCGCATTTGCGAACCCTGAGCATTCTTGTTCTCTTCGCATTTGCGATGCTGCTGTCACATTTGCGATAAATACATCGCATTTGCGACGAGGGCAGCCCTGGCCATGGTTCGCATTTGCGATACCAAGTTCGCATTTGCGAGCTCGCATTTGTGAGCCAGGTTTCGGAATTGCGAAGCCTGCAGGCCTGCAATACACCAGCAATTTTCTAAGTCCAAATTTCACTCCGTAGCCTATCCAAAACTCTCCCAAGCCCTCGGGGTTCCAAACCAAACATGCACGCAAGTCCAAAGACATCATACGGACTTGCTCGTGCGATCAAATCATCAAAATAACATCAATAACTATGAATTTCGCATCAAAATCAAAGAAAATCTCAAGAACTTTCAAAGTTTCAAATTTTACCACTAAGGTTCCGAATCACGTCATATGACATCCGTTTCTTATCAAATTTTACAAGCTCAACTTAAATCACATATAAGACCTGTATTGGGCTCCGGAACCAAAATACGGTCTCGATACCATCAAATTCCAAACATATTTAATTTTCAAAAACTCATATATATTCCAGAAAATAATTTTCTTTAAAAATTCACTTCTGAGGCTTGGAACCTCGGAATTTGATTCCAGGCATACGTCCAAGTCCCAAATTTTCCTACGGATCCTCCGGGACCGTCAAATCACGGGTCCGTTTACCCAAAATATTGATCGAAATCAACTTAAATTCATTTTAAAAGCAAATTTTATTATTTTTCACAGATTTTCACATAATGGCTTTCAAGATCGTGCCCCGACTGCGCACGCAAATCGAGGTGAGGCAAAAAGAGGTTTTTAAGGCCTCGAATCACAGAATTTACTTCTAAAACAAGTGATGACCCACAGATTTACTTCTGTAATTAGAATTGTACCACAATTAGGATTCCTCTAGTATGTGAAGAGGGGTCCCCATATCATTTGTAAACACCTTACATTCATACAGATAAAAGTAATACAATATTTTTCCATTGTTCATCAATTTATTGTTCTTTAACTGTTCTTACTTTATTACTCTCGAGGGTTCATCAGCTCGAGGACACTGTCCAAACATCAGTTGTTTTATATTCTTGTCAATTCCATCACTTATCTCTAAATTAATCAATTGGTATTAAGTTAAATCATGTATCCTTAAAACCACATTATAAGTTTAATTGTTACTCGAATTTTAGGGTAAACAATGTTCTAAGTAAAAAAAGAGAGATATTTTGCTAAGACCATAAAAATGGAGATATTTTGTCAAGACCATCCTCTTTTGGGGTCACCCGTGCTAATTTCTGTAGATTCTAAAAGGCAAAATACCTTAAAACCCCCTAAACTTGACACAAATTACTAGTTACAATCTTAAACTATTCGTGATCTTAATTACCTCCCTCAACTTGGCCTTTTGAGAGCCATTATCCCCCTCCCTCGGACGCTGATGTGGCAAAGATTGTGGGTGCACTCTCCTGTGACGTGGATTTTTCTGTATATGTGGCATTTTTTTAAAAAATAAAATATATTTAACTTTTTAAGTATGTTACTTTTGTAGATAATTTTTTCGAATACAATTTATAATAAAACTTGGATAGAACTACATTATTTAGGCTAAAAATTTTATTTGGCAAAAAATAATAAAGTTTTTGTTTATCTTATTTTGAATTTAACCTGAAAATAAAGATTTATACAATTGAAATAAATAGTCAAGGCATCTAAAAGGTTAATAATACATAGTTTAAAATTAATTATTTTGGCTATAATTTTTTATATAGCTCTAAATTATGGTGCTCTAAAGAGTGTACAATTGCAAGAAATAAAACGAATCACTTGCATTATACACTCTTTTTATTTCTTCTTTTGATGCAATGACTATTTATTTTAAATGTGTATTTTTATTTTTGAGGTAAAATATGTAAAAAAAAAAATTGAGCACCATAATTTAGAGCTATATAAACAATTATAGCCAAAATAATTAATTTCAAACTATATATTTTTTTATAACTTTTTAGAGCCTTGACTATTTATTTCAATTGTATAAATCTTTATTTATAAGTCAAATTCAAAAAAAATATTAACTAAAACTTTATTTATTTTAGCCAAATAAAAAAATTTAGCCTAAATAATGTAGTCCTATCCAAGTTTTATTATAAACTGTATTCGGAAAAATTATCTAAAAAAGTAACATACTTAAAAAGGTAAAAATATATTTTATTTTTCAAAAAAATGCTACATATACAGAAAAATCCACGTGGCAGGCGAGTGCACCCACACTCTTTGCCACATCAGCGTCCAGGGAGTAATGGCTCTCAAAAGGCCAAGTTGAGGGGTAACCAAGACCACAAATAGTTTAAGGCTGTAACTAATAATTCGTGTCAAGTTTAGGGGGATTTTAAGGTATTTTGCCGATTCTAAAATTCTAAATATATAGTATGCGATCCATTTGTCCACATGAATAACCTACATCTTGAAGTTTTATTTTACTGTAGTTTTATAATGAGGAAGAACAGAAAAAATGGGAATATTCTTAAAGAAAATAAACTTGTTAATTATAAACCATTATATCGATTTGTGAAGACGTATTCACTGGTTCGAGGTAAATGATAACTTAATATAAATGATTAGCATATATTCAACTTCTTAATCATCATTTCATTGAATAAATAAAGTAGATGTGATTATTTATAAATATTGAACTTGATATCTATCTTGAAATTGGAAAGATATAACAGAAGTATATACTTTCTTCTTTATGGTTTATAAGACAGCTGGAATTGCAGTTTTATGATTCAAGAAAATTGATTTTGAATAAGAACGTACTGTTATTATATCAACCGAGTAAATAAACAAGCTAATGAGTAAAGGGCACCCCATCGAAGCATCCCGGTGCACAAAGTATCCAGTGTTCACACAGGATCCGTGGAAGAGCACCACTCCAAGAAGGTGTGCTCTAGGCAGCCTACTCTGATGCAAAAATCAGTGATTGATTTCACGGCTCGAAACTGTGACCTATATGTCACATAAAAACAATTCTATTATTGCTCCAAGTCTCCCTTTCAAACAAGCTAACGAGAAAAATAAGAGAAAAGCGAAAATAGTCATCAGATCCTCCCTTTGTATAGATTTCGAGTTTTTTTTTTTTTTCGAGTAATGGAAGAGGACCTAACGTCTACTTTTCTAAATTTTCTCTTAATTTCAAATAGAAGTACGTAATAAAGAAAATATTATTACATCCATTTTATTTTTTGGCCAAAATAATCTCTTCCAACTTATGTTACAGACATAACAATTATACCTTAAGTATCTTTTTTCCCATTGGAAGTACCATATGCCCAACTCACACATGGAAAATAATCTTTAAACTAATGATGTACATTTGAATATAAAAACAATTTTAATTTCAAAACTATCCAGGTAATACCAAGTTCATTGCATAAAAACTTGGTACATTACTTTCATTTTTTGGGTCAATACAGTACCCTGTCTTTAATCTGCTGTTGATTAAGTCTTTTTAGAAAAAGAGTTTATATATGCCTTAAACTCTTCACAGAAGCGACTGCTTGATTCATGGGTTTCTTCGATGGATTTAAGTTTTGATTCATGTGTTTCTTCAATGGATTTAAGTTATGTACACTGATCGTGTAAGTATTATTACATTATCTGTAATAACATGCGATAGTAATTTACTTGATCATTTATACCAAATTAAGAGGGTGTTTTGGCTAAAGCTTATAAGCTGGTCAAACTGGCTTATAAGCACTTTTTGGCTTATCTACGCGTTTGGTAAAATTAAAAGTGCTTATAAGTTAAGTGTTTATAAGCCAAAAGCCATAAGTTAGTCTCTCCTAACTTGAGCCTGTTTGACTTAGCTGATTTAGAGTAGCTGATAAGTAATAGGTGCTGAAAAACACTTTTAAGTGATGAAGCTGATTTACAAAATAAGCAGTTACGTGTTTGGATAAAAGTGCTGAAATTAATAATAAGCAGCTGAAGAACTGGGTATACGAAGAATTTTGTTTTAAAAAGAAGTATTTTATGGATAGAATAGTAAATATTTTGGTCAAACCTAAAGTGCTTATAAGCTGAAATCTGATAAGTTGGGGGAGACCAACTTATGACTTTTAGCTTATTTTTGGCTTATAAGCACTTTTAATTTTACCAAACGCGTAGATAAGCCAACAAGTGATTATAAGCCAGTTTGACCAGCTTATAAGCTTAGCCAAACACCCTCTATCAAATTTCAGCTTATAAGCACTTTAGATTTGACCAAAATATTTACTATTATATCCCTAAAATACTTCTTTTTAAAACAAAACTCTTCGTATACCCAATTCTTCATCTACTTATTATTAATTTTAGCACTTTTATCCAAACACATAACTGCTTATTTTTTAAATCAGCTTCAGCACTTAAAAATGTTTTTCAGCACCTAATGCTTATCAGCTACAAACGGGCTCTAAGTTTTACTGGTACTTATCATAGAAATTACCTAAAATTACCTTATAAGTGACTTGGATAAACATGTTTCAGTTTTACGCACCACCTTCATAAGGTACTAAATTTACAGTCTTTTCAAGTCAATCATCTCTTACAGGGGGAATTTTTTTTATTTGATAAGGTAAAGATTTTATTAAAAACAGTATCAAGCTGATACTCATCTCTTACAGGGGAATTAACACCACTTTTCATTTGACAATTTTCAATTCCACTTTGGAAGTCTAATTTTTGCAAATCCTAAAGTGCAATCAAGAAAATTCTTTCCAAACTTTGCAAATGAAAAGCAACTTTGTTATGGAAGAAAAATTAGGGTGCAACTTCCGTCAATCCCTGAAAGCATAAAAACTTGACTATCAAAAGCCCCCTCAAATTCAGAACAACTGGGGAATGAACAGTTTATGCATGCGAAAATGCATCCTTAAAATAGGAGTCTTAAGATATATTAGTACAAAGTGATGTCTAGACCAAGGATAGAGTGGTAGCTACATGAAAGCCACTGTATTCACTCTATTCCTTTTGCTAAAACATCACACTGAACATCGACTTTGACAAGGGAAATGTAGCACTAAAGACACTTTATGAAGTTCAAAACTTTGGGAGTCTATTAAAGACAAGCCTATGTGCTACGCGAGAGGTTGGAACGAGTGAAATTGTGCAAGCATCAGTAGCGCTTCTAGATCCAATCAAAGTCAAAAACTGTTTCAGCTGCCTGATCGCAGAATTAGGCCAAGGGCAAACGCTGATACTCCTCATCATTTCCCTCCCAATCTCCTCTCTTAACCATCTTTCCATATCATACATCATGCCTATGAGTTTCTTTTGGTCCAAGGCATTGAGACGTTAGCTTCTCAGCGACAAAATTTCCCAAACATATGGGAACAATGAGGGGAGAAATGATTGGGAACAGTACAGCTTCTCTCAGCACTTCAAATGATTTTGTGCAATCCAATGTTCAAATCAGAAGATATAGAAATGAGGAGTGGGATTGCATGATGCCAAACAGCTTTGAAGACTCGCTTTTGATGAGCTTTAATGGACTGAGAAGGTTTGTGTGAATTGTACCTTATGTCAAAAATGTGGATGACTGGATCAACCGACCCTGATGTTATGTACGAGCCATCAGGCGACCAAGCCTGGTTTATAAGAGCTGACTGCGAGTCACTACTTTCTTGCTTCCACCCAAAGGCTTGAACCTCTGTCTGCCTCAATCTAAAATCAAATAAGCGAAGCTGCCTCTCTATAGTCCTGCATTAGAAGCATGCAGTCATAGAATTAGATAAGCAATTTGCGATTATGCAAGTAATTGCCTCAAAAGACATATTTGTGCTAAGATTCTAACTATTACAAGATAATGGACTAATTTCATAAACAGAGCTAACCAAGAATTCAAGATTAAAAAGGAATGGTGCTTGCATTTTGAGAAAAAAGAAAGAGGACAAAAAGAGAAATCATCACAATGCAGGAATGAACCTTGAGAACCTGTACTAAGGAACACTATGTTTTGTCCCTAGAAGGCCCGTCTCTCCCTGCTTTTTGGAGGAGTGTCTTCCTAGCATTCTTAAAGCAATCTGGGATGATCATGGTTTTGATCAATTTGTCCTAATTCTCTTGACTAATAATAATGGATCCATATTAGGTACCAAAATTCGCAGTATTCAATAAATGCTTTTTTACTATAAAGTCTAAGATTAAAGGCTTGTCTACCACGATTGAAGCATCCAACATGAAGCCACTTTATCTTCCTTCTCCTCCATATTAATTACACCAGATTCTCCTCGCACCACTTTCATTAAATCCAGAAGAATCTGGCTCTTGATTTAGTTCATAGCATCCCATTATTTCCTCGCTTTGCATAGACTCCATTCAAATGATGGTTTAATTAGACTTTTGATTCTGCTTCAACTAAAAGGTTGCAACTCAGCCACTAAGATGATAGAACCATCCACATAGATTATTATCACCTCCCTCATTTTACCAACTGATCATGATCCCTTCAACCCCAGAGGTTGAAGACATATAACTGTCAAGGCTACTATATGATGAGCTTTTTCTGGATTGGTTCTCAATATTCATTACAAAACGGGGAGCTGTCAAAAATAAACAGAAAAAGAATAAAACGGAGCTATTTAGTTTGGTTCAAGCAGTGGAAAACTTCAAACGTTCAAATATGAGCATGCTCATTCACATGACAAGATCAAAGCCAGAAGCATGTAATATTTCTATGCTTACTAGATCAGCTTAGCAGCAAAAAGAGAACCCCTGGTTCTTATATCTATTTCAAGTCTCAGCATTAGCATTGGATGGAAAACTTTCCCCTATAATTCAGAAACTCTTTGGCATTGGAACTTATGTTCCTTCAACAATTTAGGGCACACTGCAGTGAGGATCTCGAATTACACATTTATGCAATGACCCAAAACCAGTACAACTACTACTACTATTACACCTCGATCCCAAGCAAATTGGGGTCGGCAAGAAACACAACCAAATACAGTATTAGATACCCCTATAAATTATAACCAAATCATTGCTGTTCATAAGTGAAATATCTTTTTTAAGTACTTAAGGAATAACTCAATAGAGTTTATGAGAGATTTTGGGGAAATCTTCTGATAATGCATTCCTCGCGAGAATAAATATTTATGAAGAGTGCACAGTATTCCAAATAAAAGTAACAACACTATAAGAAAGAGGGACTTGCAGGAGAATGGACTGGGAACATAGCTAGGAATCAATAGTATGTAAAAATGCACCTAAAGATCATAGAAAGACTGCATTGTGAACTTTACCCTGTCTGAACCATAAAGAGATTGAAATCACACGGATTAGGTAGGACACTCATGCATTTATTTTCAATTTGATGCTTGTATTCTGCTCTTTGAGCTAGCAAATCAAATCCAATGATCCGCTTGTCCGCTCCAACAGACATCACTACTTTCTTATGCTGCAAACCGGCAACACCCATCACAGCAGAAGAATGCAAACTTCTATGCAATGCTTTAGGCTTCCACAAATTTTCTCCATCTACATTGCTCCACAGGACAGCTGCATGATCACTACCACCAGTAACAAAATATACATCTTCCCACGGCATGAACATTATGTTGTTGATTATCCCTTTAACATGAGGCTTCTCCTCCAGGAAACTTACACGCGTTTTCTGTTGATACAAAGCACATGAGAACATAACAGGAATAAGATCAAAGTAATATTTGATGCGATAAGATGCCTGGTGTGCTTTGAAATACTACATACTTAAGCCTCAAACAACTTCAGAAGCTGGAAAAAGATTTATTTTAATTTTTCAGTGGAGAAGACAGGAAAATAATGCAATAATAGTTAATAGACCTAGTTTAGTTTGGTCAAGAGGAACCTATGAGTATGAGGGTTATCTGAAGCCTCTAATATGGCAATTAACTGAAGAAAATGAAAAAAGAAAAAAGATTCTGACCTCATAGGATCATTAGGTCCATATAAATTTACAAATTAATCGTCATAAAGGTACTTCATGTGTACAGAATATTATGGACAAGAACATAATAAGAGAACAAGTAACAATACAAGTACTTTAATCCTCTTTACAGCTCAAAAAACAATAATATAAGTACTTTAATGGGATAATACATACACACCCCCTCCAACTTGTCCCGTTTTCTCAAGTGCACACTTGAACTTTACTGACGTCCCATTACCCCCCTAAACTAGTTTGAAGTGGTATTAATATCATCTTTTGTGCATATGTGGCATGGTAAGTGGTTACACATCTAGCAGGGCGCGTGAAAAGGAGAATTTAAAGTCCAATCAGCGTATTTTTTCTTTTTGCTTTTTTTTTTATCTTCTTCACTAAACCGTTAATGCTATCATCAGAAAATATATCCGGCGACCGAAATTCACTTGGTGCAAAGTCGTTCGGCCATTGAAATTCGTTCCCTTAAAGCTTCATTTGACAATTTCACAAGATAATATCTCTGACACATACTTTTCTGCTGTTTAATCTTCTGTATAAAACTATAGATACACCACAGTCAACCAACCAGACCATATTCCTCTGTTTTTCTTCCAAAACTTTCACTTTATACATTTTATCATACCCAAGCTATGCCTAATTAGCTAGTCCAAATGATATATATCCCACCACCCCTTTCATCTTTTCCACCATTTCTCACAAGAAAAGTTACTTCTTTAATTTCTTTTTTCTTCTGCAGTTTCTCATTGATAGATTTCTATTCACACATAGATGGGTTTTGATGATAAGCACAACCTGGTTTTAGGATGTGCTTTTCCTCAAATCGCTAATCAGAAATTAATCAACAATTAATTTGTGCGATTTAAGGTTGAGCGTTGGAGCTTCCTATCTACATGAGTATCGGTCATGGACGGTATCCCATTCAATCTCCCTCAGTACCCGATTCTTTTTCCATCTTTATTAAAGTGACAATGGCAGAATTTAAATAAAGTGAAAAAAAGAAGCCAAAAGATACATGTTTTAGTATAAAGAAATGAAATAAAAATGATGTGGAGAAATAGGCATGGTGCGTGAAATGCACTGCCTGACTTTAGATCTGGTGTTGGTCTTTCAAGGTGATATTAGTACCACTTTAGATTAGTTTAAGGGGGTAATAGGACCCCCACAAAGTTAAAGTGTGCAGTTGAAAAAAGGGGATAAGTTGAATGAGGTACTTATGTATTATCCCTACTTTAATTTATCAGTTTAAGGACCATTACTCAAGAAATCAAAGGCCTTCCTCATCCTTCCCTACGGCTCTCCATCAGAAAGATCAGGAAGCGAAAGTGGATTAATATACTGTTCTGGCTATAATGAAATCATAATGCAACTCAATGCAAAGGACGTAGCACGTGCCACAGATCTGTACACATGCTGTTTCATTCAAATAGGTTTTACTGTCCTATGAGCTTTGCCATACAATTTCGCCGGAGTTTATCTCAGACTTAAACCTGTACCTCTTTTCCTTTAAGATTCAGGATTGAAATTTGAGAATCCCCACCATCAGCACTATAAACCGAAAAAAGACTATTGCCTTCTGGATGCCAGGCTACATCTTCTGGCCATCTCCTATGCTTGGATGAGAGGCAATCAGTGGAACTAAGACGATTAGCAGTTGACCTGATTATCCAAAAAAAAAAAAAAGAAATAGGTAACTCAAATTATCAGAACACAAACATAAAATCAGCACTTAAACGTTATTGCTGCCTGAAATAAGATTTTGCCTTCAGAATACAGTCTCACAAATGAAAGCGATACTGATACGGCTAAGGAAGTTGACTTTTTGAAGTTTTAACATACCCTCTGCCATGTATCTGCCATAGGTTGATAATCCCATCCAACGCACTGCATATTCAAGGGTGACATAAATTAGCATTCAGGTTCAAATTAAGCTATATGCAAAACCCATTTGTTACATTCTATGCCAGATGCTCAAAATGTTTTGGAAAGAACAAAATAGGCGACTACACTGGGCATTAGCTCAGGAGAAACGAAGTGCAGTGGACATTACGTCAAGGAAAAAACATCAGCCAGCGTGTTCACACATTAATAGATACTATCAGCAGCAAGAGTTTCAAAATCAGTGACAACTCTAGAAGCAAGAAATGAAATGCATCAATAATCAAAATTGTCATTTAGCATGAGTGCCTGACCTTCACACAGACTCTTAAGCACTATTATACCTGCTTGCAAAAAGTTCATCATTCTTAGGATTTAAGATAATTGTTCTCAGCTTTCTCTTGTGTTGACTAGATATGACACAGGATGTCTGGCAGCGTATCATGCTTGCTGAAGAGCAGCTACCTATCAATGGTATCAGCTCTTTATGCTCTTTCTGCTCTGTATTAGAAAGCAAACATGATAAATATTTTCGAACTTCCATACCAAAAGGCTTTCATGCAATAGCAGTGATCAAATAAAACTAACAAAAGTCATGACATAACTACAGTATTACCAAACTTCCTTTTTGTTCCTTTAGACTGAATTTCAGAAGCTTCCTTCTCAGGGGTTCTCTGACTCTTATCTTCTTTTAACCTTGCCATACTAGTACCATGAGCAAACCCTGATCCACCAGCCTGAGAATCAGAACCACTTGAGATTTTAGGACCAGATTCTATCATCTTCAAAGGTTGAGATACTCTTGGTTTCACATCGGGAATGACAAGTGGTGGTTTCACCTGGGCCACACTGCGGGAAGTATATTCATTTTTCTGGAAAGGACTTGCCATTTTCCGATCTGGCGCTGGAGACTTCCTAAACGGTGTATTGCTGTCCTGGCGTGGTTTAGTTTCAGACAAGCTATGAGAAGAGCCCTCATTTATCTGAATGGGACTTGGGGATCTTCTTTTGGCTGTCACTGGATTCGTCCCATTCCCACGGGAGCTTGTGGATGTTGCTATGTTCTCTCGTCCCCGAAGACGAGCTAATTTCAGCTGTGTCTCCTCTAGCCTCTTCTCTGCTTGATCGAACTACACAATTCATCCAATGGAGGAGAAAATTAGGATGTCAATTTTACTCCCAAAAAGTACAAGAACAACTCTTTAAAGACACAAAAAATGTATTCCTGTAAATATAGAAATGTAAATCTTCCTCCAAGTTGCAGCTAACATTTGATGCATCATGCTGAATTTGGTGCTTCAGTGAACTGCATCAAATTAAATAGGAAAAAGAACTGCTAACATACAAGCAACTCTGTTGCACTATAATAACTTTAGCTCCTAGATGGATCTCTCTTGCTACAGGCAAAAGATAACTGAAAGCTTTTCACTCATCCAATCTATGCTTAGATATGTGTGTCAATGCATGTAAGCAAACAGTAGGAAAAAGGTATCCCGCCTCCTTCTCAGCCAGAAGGAAGCATGAAACTGCCAAAAACAGGAGTGAAAGAACAAAGACCCCAGAATGTGACATTCGTGTATAAAGAGTCAACGCAGTTGTTAGATATGCCACCGCTATTATTGCACACATAATGACATAACTGACTATAGTATTCAAAACAACCAGCTCATATTCCAATAGAAGTCCTCAAAATGACACCATTTGCCTCAAAGGTGCAATGTCACATGTTTACAACTGACATCAACTTAAAGTTGAGGAAACTGCCTTTTCTTTC